CATCTCTTTGATTTGTTTGTGTGCTAGATCTTCGTACAATGCTAAGACGTTAAACTTTATCATTCTCTATCGTTGCTAATATTCCAGGACGCAACATGTAGCACATTTATCAATCACATAATATGCTTGAGATGTTTCGACGAACATAAATTTAGTGAGGAGAGAAAATCAAACGTGAAAGATAGATAATCTGGGCAAGTTATGGGTAATATGAAACAATATTAAAAAAAAAGAACCAAGGCTTCGTTTAGAGCTTTTTGCCATAGCTATTTTGCAGCTTTCAATAATTTTTTTTTATGAAAAAGTAAATTTAGAAAGCTTTCGGGATGACTTTCTCGTTGCTTTCGCTACTAAAAATAGAGCATAAAGTCAAAATTTTTTAACGGCTATAGATGATCTATCACAGTGATTTTAACCGTGACTAGATGTTGCTGTCATTATTTATTTTCAACAGCCATTTAAACCATTGATTTTATCCCTGGTTTAATCAGATTTCCTCGTTACCTACTACTTCATTTGTCGATTCACGGCCTAGCCGCGGTCAACCTCACCTCGCACCCAGTTCTTGAACGCACGCGTGACGATCGACCGCTTGCTCTCACCTCACCTATTCGCGAGCTCTTCCACCGCCTCTCTCAGCTAATTGAACCGGTGGATCGCCTTTTTGTCCTGCTCGCGAGCTCTTCTTGCTTATCCGAGGTTTTTTTTTACTGTTCACAGGCGTCTCCACCGAGCAACTACCGGCGACATTTGTCCAGTCCGGTGAGTGAGAAAATATAGAGCGGTAGCCTAACAACATTTTGCCAATATTTAGTTATGTATTGACACATTATTTGTTTTAGCACGCTAGATCTATGTGCTCCTCTCCATGCGAGAGAAGAAACCGAGTGTAGCTGCTATTTCCTTCTTGTGTGACCCTACTGAAACGAAAGGAAAAACCCAGGAGATTTTGAACCATCAATATGTGATTTACTAAGAACCCTTCCCTTGCATACGTTGGAGGTAAGGCTCACGTTGATTCTTATTCCAGCTGCTATTGTTTTCATTTTTTTTTTTAATTTTTTATGTATACAGATAATCAAGAGGGGTAAGCAAATCTTGCTTCAGAAGAGATTTGAGTTTGGAGCATTACATACGTATATTTTCATCAAGTTTGATAGTGAAATGCTTAACGACAACTTAATCCAAATCCCCTTTCAAACCTCAGTAAAATAAAACAAAGACAGAAAGAAAGCTGAAGCGTTTTTTGCCTTGTTTTTGTTGATCTCATTTTTGAATGAGGTCTATTTCTTCGAGTTGATCTTAATGCTTAGGTCTTCCTAGTATAATGTCAACATCGCCTTTAGGATTCCCAATGACCAGTCTCAGCCTTGTGATTCGACCAAAATTAAAGCCAGTTTGATCTTAATCAAATTTAATTCCAAGCATGATAGTGTGATCGAACATAGTTGAGTTAATTTGGCTCGATTTGAGTATGATTTGAACTTGACCAACTTGATTGAAACTGCATAACCGTCTTAGGTTAATTGGAATAAATTAGATTCCAATCTGCATTGATCGAAGCACGTCGATGTAAATCGGTGCCATACCGAGTTGAATGACTAGGATCTAGTTCGATTTAAACGATGACAACTCCGATTAGCCCCCAAGTGACTCGTTGCGAGCTGCGGGCCAATTAAAACTGAATTGACATTAATTTAGTGTATTAAATTGATTTGAACCTGTCTAAATTAAAATTTCAACTAATTTTGCTTAATTAGCATATCAATTTTAATAAAATTAACCTTATTATCTATTAAATTTAATTAAGTTAAAGGTCGGCAGTCGAATCTGTCAATTTCTCCCTCCCAATTCCATTAAAATTTAAATGAAGGCACTTTGTGCGCTTTTTGGTATCATTTAGATCTAGATAAAGAGGCAGTTAGATCTTAGAACCTAGAAGGGGATCGCTCTTGATCCCGATTCCTCCTGTGTTTATTCTCTGCAGTTCGTGCGTGAAACTCCAGTTGAACTCCCCTAATCTCCTATTCGTTCTTGTGTGAAATCCCTGGCCCTGCCCGCGTGAAGCCACCCATTCAAATCCCGCACAGCCTGCTTCTACACTTCGACTCCTGCACTAGCACAACACCCAATACCGTGAAGAAGCCCACAAGAATTTCAGTCCACGCGAAATCCACCTGGCCCGAACATCCACCTACTTCAGCCCTTTTCAACTTGCACCTTGCTCATTTGAATCGTGAGCCGCCGGCTACTGCTTGTGTAAAGATGTCACGATCCGGTCCGGCTAGCCCGAATTAATGGGGCGGGAACAGAAGGTCGGAGAATACTTATTTCATATCATAAAATTTTCATTTCACAATTGACATAACCATAAATATCATCCAATAACAATGTAAGAAAGAGCCACTAAACATCCAAACTAAAATATCCTAAATACATTAAAACATAAAATCACTTAAAAACATAAGCTGAATACATCAACTAACTCTACAATACATCAACTAACACATTACATAACAGAATTTCTTTCCTTAACAATCCTCCTTAATTTCCTTAAGAAATTCAAAGTTTCTCTTAAACCCTAGAAAATTTTCTCTTCCAAAAATCTTTGAGAACAAAGGAGAAATGTAAATTCTAATGCATACCTTAGTCTCCTCTACGTTTTCCCCAAGTCCGACCGCCGAAATCAATGTCGGAGGCGCCGCCCGTCGCCCCTCTCCCGTCCGCTTTCTGCCCTTCGCTCTATTCGTCCAAAAGAAACAATGGGGACCCTTAAGAGAGTGGAGTTCATGATATTTGCATAAAATCTAAATTGCCCTCACTTGAATTATCTCCGCTTTAATATTTAATAAGGGTAGTTTAGGTATACTAAAACTTCTAACATTTTTAACTTTCAATTTAAGCGAAATTGAATATAAGTTATTCATATCAATTTGCTCGAAATTTTGCGTAGAATTTTATAAAATTAATTTCGTCGAATTCTGATGCTTTTGAAATTTTACTTAATTTTTTTCGCGATGCATCGAGATACGTGCAACGCTTATGATCATCGATTTCAGGTTTTAAGGAATTTGTACCCAACAGCTTCTTCAATCAAGTTTTCTGCAGGGTTCGTATTTCAAAACTTATTCAACAAATTTTCACTAAAGGATTATTACATTTGATGCCACGTTTCACGCCTAAGCTTGCTTGTGGTTGAAGGAGTTATGGTAATTTTATTGCTTTTGAAGCTGCTTTCTAGTAAAAGAATTTAATTTTTATATTAAAATTTTGTTTCAAGAAGTAATAAAAATGCCGTCCCAAACGAAGTCTAATTTGAAGGAATTAAACTTTATAACCTCATCTAATCATACATTTATTGATATCATTCTGAAATGATTGGATATTTCATATACATATATTGTTGGCTTGTTAAGTGGTGTTCAGGGGATGAAGAAAGAAAGGGGAAGGATTTATTCTTCACATTTGTTTCCTGATACTATTCTTGCTGTTGCGTTTATTTCATCCCTCTATGCCCGTTGTCAGGAACAACCCCACCGAATCTGCATGGTATTTATTTCCCCACAGTTTTTGCTTATCCATTAGAAATTGTTCTAAGTTCAAACATTTTGGCTGCACTTTTTCTTTTTCTAGCATATTAAAGTGATATGCTAGAGATGGGGATTCTGAATTGAGATTTTAAAACTACAGTTATTATTATTATTATTTATGGTTCATCAAATACATGAGATAAAATGAATTGCTTCCTGTATGTGATATGTGTAATGTAGAATGATTTGGACATTTGGCTTCTCTTTAATTTTGCCATACACATTTTTAGATTCCCTTTGTTCAATGAGAAGTCTATCTATCTGAGATGGAAATGAGACAAATAACATATATGGATGTGTTCTTTATTGGGAGTTCATATGCATCATTTTCATTATAAAGAATTCTTAGAATGGTTTTTCAGTATAATTTTTTTTTAAACTAAAAACTTTTGTGATAGAAAGCTGCTTTAAAAAACAGTAAAAAAGTCATCCCAAACGATGTCTAAGGCTTTGTTTGGGACAACTTTCGTCCTACTTTCTAAAATGACTTTCTAATATAAAATTTTCTAATTCATGAAATTTTTATACTAGAAAGCTGTTTTAAAAAAACAATATAAAAGTTGTCCCAAATGAAGCCTAAGATTTCATTTGAGACAGCTTTCACTCATTAAATTTTTTATAGCTTTCATTTTTTTTTGTATTAAAAAATTGTTTTAGAAATCAATAAGAAAATTATCTCAAATGAAGTCTAAAAATAATTGTGAAGGACTAGCTGAGAGAGAGTGCTTAGAGGCAAGGAAAGAAGTAGCAGATTAGAAAATTGCTGTAGTTTTTTCTTAGCTGCTCAGTGGTACACTTGTAAGCTTGGGTGATGAATTAATTTATAATTCTTTCTCAAGCAGCTTCAAAAGTTTGTGTCAACTACACATTTATAATGACGAAAATTTTGCCAATATGGGCATCAGTTAGTCAAAGCTTAGTTGAAAAGATGGCTTTATTCATATTTATTCTCATTATCTCACCTTTACATCTCATAACGTAACGTTGATTACTGCAACTCTCTGACGTGTTTACGTTTTTATCATTTCAGACAAACTATTATGAGCCAGAGATAGTAATACTTACCATGCAAAGAGAGGAACATTTGGAGAGTATCGATGAAGCAATTAAAGAAATTATTGAATATTGTATGAGGGAGGCTAATTAGAATCATCACAGAAAAATAATAATTTTTTTTACTAAAAGTTAATTAGTAAAAGATGTCGAACAAAAAATATATTTCCGAGACAAATTTTGATGAATTTTTGTCCATCCAAATCCGACAAAGCTAATCCATACCCATTTGATCTAATTTTTAGAAAGAACTTTTGAACTTAAGCTTCTCCCGATATTACTTTGTTTTTTTTTTAATTTATTTTTATTTTATTTTTGATCTTCGTGAGCTCGAACTTCTGCCCAGTTAGTCGTCATTGGGACCCTAGCATTGGTCGGGTCCAGCATGGCGATTCTTCCTCAGTACGATTCCAGAAGTCCGAGCTAGTTTTCTATCTGAACCAAACCATAGACCCAAAGGAAGCGAAATCGGAAAGGGTTTCCTCGAATAATTCTTGCAATCGGCTTCTATCTCCCTCCCTCTTACGGGGAAGAGAGGTGACTGGATTGTGAGAACGACATCGAACCAGATTTCCACGGCGGAAGAGAATAGTGCCGTATACAGAGGTAATATAAGTGACGGAAAGACCATGGGCGGTTCCTTTTGTTTGCGTGGATAACTCTTCGATAATAGTAAAGGTAAGCGTTAAGCTTTGCTAGTTAGCCTTCTCATCCGAGTCTAGGAGAAGTTCTATTTCGTTTGTCAAATAAACCCTAGGGCTCCGCTGTCAGTTGGTAGTTTGAATCTGGTATTTTTGTTTTTTGCGTTCAAATTTAGTTTTTATATGTGGATATGATCTATAAATTGTTATAACTCAAACTGTTTTTGCCTCTTGTTTTATTTTAGTGGACCAATTTCATCCTCCTTCTACTCTTTTTCTTTATTTTGAAATTATAGAAGCTGAGATTTATTATGGTGGAGGCCTGTAAAGGAGAACAGCAATGAGATGTTTGATCGAAATGTAATCAGACCCAAATTCGGAAATTTTTGGCTGGACACTTCTCTTGCTACTCCGTGGATCTTGGCTGAGCACTTGTGCTTCGTATAATACTGTAACGAGATTTCGCATGCGTGAGGGATTGGAAAGTAGTAGTCTTTCTTTTGAAATTGGACATTTGGTTTCACTGACTCCGAAACTATATATAGAAGCTCCTTTGAAAAGTCGCTTACTATATTAGGGTAATAGTTGTAATTCATTCCAGCTTATTGGTCAGAATAGGTCCTCCTTAAATTTCTTACCTTGTTTTCTACGAGTCCTTTTTCTGGCATTGGACGTCAGAACATTTGTAATCAAATTACAATGAAGAAAAGCCATTGATTCAGTACAACTACCAGCTGGATGTACTCATAAAGGTATATACCTGTGTCTGGATAAGTGGCCATGAAGGAAACCCTAAAGCAAGGACATCGCTTTGTTCACATGAAGATTGCTTCTCACAAAGAAAAACATAAGTACATGAATATAGCCTCCAGGAAAAAAAAAAAAAACTTAAACATATTGGACATGCCAAAATGCGAGTCAAATAAATTAATCTCTCTGTTCGTGTCTTATCATGAAGCATTTTAAGGTGTAAGATGAGGTAATGTTGCATGTAATTATTCTCAATTAGAGCAGATGTTACTAATATGATGTGGTTTTATACGTCTCAGAATCTCTTAAATAGGTCTTTTTCCTAAATATTTAAGCAATCTTAGTGACATTTGTGTTATGATGCCTAAGGTAAAGTATAAACTCCCGAATATGGTAGTATCTAGCCATTGATACAACGTTGTTTGAACTTCCTGTAAGATTTTGTGCTCTTATCATCAGATTCTCTTGCTTTGTTCTACTTAAGTGCCATTCCTAATGTGAGTGTATATGGCCATAAAAATATACAACATGCGTAACTTGTGGACATAAAATGAGCGATGGAGTTGTTTAGAACAATATCTTTATAATAAATGATGAGAACATCGTTCAAAGATTCAGACACGTGTACCGGTGATGGAATCGTAGATCGACGGCTATGATTCAACGTCTTTACTTTTGATGTATTTTTATGTTTTATTTAGTTTTTTTTTTTTTTTCAGTTTTTTGAGTTTACCCCTATGGGGAGTGTTATATTATTGTAGCCCGGAGAGCAATTGTGTACTTTTCTTTTCTTCATGTTTGAGACCTATACATAGCGGTCTTATGCTTTATAAAAGCTTGATAATGATTAAATGAAATTTTGCTTCTTCTTCTTCTTCTTCTTGTGAGTGCACTAGAGAGAAGAGAGAACTCAATGTGTTGGTGAGTGCAATACCCACTAGTCATTGGAAGTGTCAGTGGCTCGTGGTTTATTTTTCTTTTCCTTTTGCTTATTTCTCTTCCCCACCTGGTAGCCCCTCCTACCACTCCACCGCCGGCCCATCTCTCCACCACCTACCCTCAACCCAAATTAATCCCAACCCCAAACCCCCTCACCCACCAACCCAACCTTTCCCCTTTTCCTCTACCCGGCACCAACACCCTTGCTAATCTCTTTGTAACCGCTTACCATTACTAAATCTTTTAACAAAAATTCTAAGAATTTGACTTGGGTGAAACATAAGTTTTTAAATAGCAAAATTCATGTTCAATATATATTGTTAAATTCCAAAGCAACTCATGTCGCATGTATGCTTCACATTAATAAACCTTTTCGTTCAACTTGTTGTAATATTATCCAATTATTTGTTGAGAAAAATAAAAATGATCCATCAATTTTGACAAGTGCTATCATAAGGTGCGTTGTTCCATTAGTTTCAAAGAGTATAAAACTTCAATTCTATGTTTAGGCATTTCATTAGAGTTTCACTAGACTTTCACTAAAATAATAAATGCAGTTCTTGAATATGGTATTAGGGTTGCAAATGAATCAAACAGAGCACCTACTTGTTCATATTTGAGCTAGTTTATTATCAGCTTTTCCAACCTCGATTCAAGCTTTTCTATTGGTGTTCAAGCTAGATTCGTTTAAAAGGAGAGATGCTTATGTTTGGTTCATATTTGATTCATTTTGTGCTTTTCGAGCTTTAAACAAGATTATGGAGCCTACTGACAAACAATTACCTATAACGTGCCTTCGAAAATATCTAGTGTGTGTTTTTGACCTACCAAATAAGCCCATTTGAGAACATATCTAACGAGTGTTTTCAAGTTACTAAATGAGCTCGTTCACAAATAAATGAGCTCAAAAGATAATTTTTCTTATAAACAAGCTTGTTAATGAGCACTTTAGATAAACAATATAGCAAACATGAACAAATACCTTTTGTTCATGAACCAATACATTCTATTAAAACGGTATAATATTAAAATAAAATTAAATTTTTTATAAAATATGAATTATTTGTTATAATAAAAATAAAAATTATATGAAAACATACAAAATAAAGATTTAATTAAGCTTCTTAACAAATATTATATCGAGCTTATTCATGAGCTTTAATTGATATTGTTTATGGCATAAATGAGCTAAATATATAACTATTCAAGTTTGTTTTTTTAACAGTTGAGTATTTAAAAAATTGTTCGAATTTATTTATTACTTAAAAAAAATCATGAACGAGCTTTGATCAAGTCAAGCCATGAGTAGCTTGTAGAACACTCAGTTTATTTGTATCCCTATCTATTACCCTATAATCCTAGACACACCCACACAAGGTAGCCTACTGCTTTATTTTATGATATTTGTGTAATAATTAGCATGGCTTGAGAAATTATTATATTTGCGATAATTGTAGTGGTATCTATTGAAGATAAGATAGTTGAAAATGTACATAGTTAATTTCAACAAACATAGGATATGGATACACATTTAAGACATGCAAATAAAATTTATGCTAAGGATTGGGAAAGTAAAGAGATATATAAATGAAAATGATATTTCCAAAATAGCTTGGGATAATGGTCAAACTGAGTTCATTTCAAAATTTTCTTGGATGCTGACCTTTAAAGTCGCCTTAGATGGTTTGGTCACATAAAACGGCGGCCTTGTGATAACTCGGTTAGGAGAGTAGAGGTATTAGATTTGACTTATGTTAAGAAAGGTAGGGGTAAACCTAAAAAGACTTGGTTAGAAAATATTAGGAATGACCTTTCTTTATTAGATTTAAATGAGAATTTGACTTTTAATAGGACACAATGGAGAAAAAGGATTCATGTAGCCGCACGTAGTGGGATAAAGGCTTGATGTTGTTGTTGTTGACCTTTAAACTACCAATGTATCGAGCCAGCATATGGTTATCTCTCTAGTTTAAATTGTTACGTGCACTGAATCATATAACTCAAACTGTCGACGAGAGTCCTCTTCTTCATCGAGCTTGAAGAGCTATGGTTCAATAAGTGGGAAATGTTGCTGCTTGCATCGTGGGTTGTGAGCAGGAGACTCGTGGATTGCTGGCATGGTTTCCAGTCTTTCTAATCGGGTGCTCGAATTAGTGTTACTTCTTGTCTTTATATTTTGGATTTCTTGTCACGTCTTGACCATAAATTAGTGAAACTTGATGATGAGTTCATCCAATTGTTTGTTGAGATTGGACTGAGCAGTCCACAAGGTCTCTATTGTTCGATCAGAATATCAACTGCTGGACGATTGGTACCCTCTCTCATTGCCCTGAATTAGAGGTTCTGCTACGAAAACTACGTAGAAGCCAGATGCGAAGGGAATTAGAAGAAATATTTTCCAGTAGTTTAACAAAATCAGAGTACCATCGATTTCTATGCCCTTTATCCTCTTCTTCCTTTCCATATCTGTTCACCCCGAGAGGTAGACCAAACTAAGTGATACAGATATAAAGCAAGTAATATAAAGTATTGACTAAAATTATAAATAAGTTATGCATGGTTGATAGTCATGAGAAAAGTGCTCCTCGCAACAGCTGAATGAGAAGTAGTGATGAGATGAGCCTGCATTAGTGGGTAGGTATGTAATGCATAGAGTTTTCAAATATTTCACAATTCATATTGAAACTAGACTAACATGTTTGATGATCCTTAATTCAAATTGAATCGTGGAGGAAGTTATCAACATTTCCTAATATTCCCAATGTTTTATAATTTTGAAGGAAAGTCTGCAATGATAAATGCCATATTCATTAATATGTTTATTAAGTTGCTATGAAATCAATTTTATTCCAGCAACTTTATTTGCCTCAACTTAGTTAACACAGTCTCCTTTGGCCATGCAAATTTAAACTTTTTGTTTTGTTTGATTTTTTCATGACCTAGCGGAGAAGCTTGGATTGCTAAGACAGGAAGAGTTGGTCAGGCAGAGTTTTTCAAATTACATTTGCTAATATCAATTAATATCAAAATGGTTATTCGTAACTTTCATAATGACAATTCCCAAGATATTGAAAGGGCCAGTAAATCATTAAAGTTCATATTATTATAGATTAACAACAAATCTGATATAGTATTTCAATATATAGAAATGTTAAATACCTATTACTTGCAACTCCATGCTGTTAGTACACATATCTCTTCTCCCACTCATTCAAGTATCAACATATTATCTTGAAATATTAATTGAAAAATTATCATGGTTTATCATCACAGCACAATGAGTTAATTATACTTCTAAATCATAGTAACTCAAAAAAAAAAAAAAAAAAAAAAAAAAAAAAAAAAAAAAAAAAAAAAAAAAAAGAAACAATATACATGCCATCATAAACAATGTTTATTGCTCCTGTATAAATCCTGATTATATATTTCTCTTAACATTTGAAGCAATGTACATAGAATCATAACATTCATCTTTTCTATGGCTCATCATATCTTAACTTATACTTTTTCTATGTACTAATACATTTGTCTTAGGTGTATTGTTTAACCCAACTCATTCTTGGCCGATATCTCCCCTATCGACACAGCGGGGCATATAATAAGTCAATTATTATATGAGGTAGAAGGCACCAACTCATCCTTAACCAATACATTTCTTTTCGGCACATCAGAGCATATGTCATATTTTTATTATTGTTTGGGGTAAAAGGTAAAATCATCAATGTATGGATATATTTGCATCCCTTGTTAGTACCAGAACGTGGCGAACTTTATATATCAGATTTCTTTTGCATTCATCCCTACACACATTTTCCTTGGATTTATCTCATCACGCATTTGCTTTAAATAGTTTTTTTTGCATACATTTCATGCAAGGTTTAGAATTGCCCAATTGGGTATTGAGGCATTTTTTGTTCGTGAGGCAATTCATAAGACTCAAGGCGTAAGCCTTTAAAATTTAAAATCCAAAATTTGTGTAAAGTGAAAGTAAAAATTTTAATTATTTTTTTATGTAATACCCAAATAATATGTTAAAGGATGATATATTATCTCTCTATTAATTATCAAGTAACAAATTGACATACATATGAAACAAAAATTTCACAAGACATAAAATGAAAAATAATAAATTATTCAAAATAGAAATAAAATCCAAATATTACAAGAGAAAAAAATAGAAAATATAAGAGTTACATAAAATTATCATATAACATCAAATTCAACTTCAAATTCATTTTTTCCCATTTCTCTACTCATCCATATAACCACATTTTATTTCTTAATAAAGCTGAAATAGTTGTCAATAACTCAAAAGTCGTTTGCACTATCATCTCTGAGGGGATCTTTATTTGAGTTGTCGTCATAACAAATTGGTCTCTTTGCCTCCTAATTTGTTTATTCTTCATTTATTTAAGTAATCTTTCTCTTCATAAATGTTTGTCATCAACATAAAGATGTGAGTAATACTCCAAAATTTTTAGAGGAGGAGGTGGTAGTGAATAAATTAAGGTTAGATAATTTATTATTACTAATTAATTAATTAACTAATTTTATAATGCATAAATAAGAAATGAAGTATTTTTTAATATTATTAATAAAAAAATAAATGCTATTTACATCATAAAAAGTTTATTTAAAAAATCTATTTAAAAATATATAGTGTATATTGTAAACTTAAAAAGTAAGAACAACTTATTTAGTCCCATATTACTTGGGAACTTCCTCTTGGTAATGTTTATATTATTTTTTGAGTTTGGAGGAGATAAGAACTCACATGGAGTGATTGAGCCATGTGAAATGTTTAGTATGAATTTCTTCATTAAAAAGTAAAGCATTTTAAATTTAAATTAATTTGTTTAATTATAAATATTACTTAATATTTTATTTTTAATATGTTAAATTAATTTATTTAATTATTTAAATAACTTAGAAATTGAACTGGCCAATTCAGATGAATTAACACTAGAACTTCCCACTAGGTTACCACCAATGCGAGACGTTCAACATCATATTGATTTGGTCCCAAGATCGATCTTGCCTAACAGACCTGCTTACCCCCAGCGTCCTGACCAACACCAAGAACTGCAGCGACAAATTGAGGAACTTATATCTAAAGGATTCATAAGTACTAGTACTAGCCCGCAGTCCCAGCCTCTTGGTGCTAAGAAAAGGTGGAACTTTTCGAATGTGTATTGGCTGTCGCTCCATCAACCGAATCACGGTAAAATACAGATTTACCATTCCTCGCATTGATGACCTGTTCGATCAATTACACTGAGCAAGCATTTTTTCCTAGCTTGATCTACGAAGTGGATATCATCATATTTGAATGCGGCCTGGTGATGAATGGAAGACCGCCTTCAAGATGTAGGATGGACTGTCTTGCCATTCGGCTTATCCAATGCTCCGAGCACGTTTATGAGGCTTATGAGCCGAGAGTATTACAACCCCTCTTGTGCAAATTTGTTGTCGTATATTTTGACGTCATTCTAGTCTATAATAGAACTCTCGAAGAACACCTCCAACACCTGCGTCAAGTTCTTGATGCTCTATGGGGACAACAATTATTTGTTAACCTAAACAAGTGCCAATATGTCACGCCCAAGGTGAACTTCCTGGGTTTCATCATGCCACTGCCAGTTCCAGAAGCCCCATGGATTTATGTGAGTATTGATTTTGTACTCGGACTTCCCCGCACACAGCGACATAAGGACTTTATAATGGTATTTCGTCGACTGATTCTTAAAAATGACACATTTTGTACCTTGTAACAAGACTTTGGATGCGCCACCCATATAGCTGATCTGTATTTCAGAGAAATTGTTAAGATGTATGGCGTTCCCCGTACCATAACTTCAGATCGTGACTTTAAATTCCTCAGCCACTTTTGGAAGACGCTATGGGGAAAATTGGGGACAAAGCTGCAATTCTCCTCTACTTCACATTCTCAAACAGATGGACAAATCGAAACAGTGAACCAAAGCTAGGAAAACTTACTCAGATGCTTCGTAGGAAAAAAAATATTCGCAATGGGATCTCATTTTGCCTTAGGCCGAATTTGCATTCAATAGATCCACCAATCAATCGATAAAGAAAAGTCCGTTTGAAATCGTGTATGGCATCAATCCATTGTCTCCTATTGATTTAATTCCGCAGGTACAAGAGGCTGCATATAGTGTTGATGGCACACAAAGAATCAAAGATATTCAACAACCGCACAAACAAGTGCAAGAGATGATCGACAAACACAATTCAAAATACAAGTCTCAAGCCAATAAATCTCGACGAGTTCAACACTTTCAGGAAAGGGATCTTGTATGGATCCATTTAAGAAAAGAACTAGTTCCTCATTGATCTTTTCACAAGCTGAGACTAAGAGCAAACGACCCTTTATGTGTAATTAAGAAGATAAATGACAATGCATATCAGGTCGACTTGCCTGGCGACTACAATATATCAGCCACCTTCTATATCGCCGATATTAGCCCCTTTTACGAACGCGAAGACCCTCCTATCCCGGGAGAATGACGCATGAGCTTGAGGATTAATTAATATAAAATAGCTATTATATAAATAATTGCGGCTATTAATAATTGTCTTAGTATTTTAAATTTTCTATTAATTAAGATGCATGTATAAATAAGGTTTCACCCCAATAATAAGATAGTTTTTGGAGTCTTGAATTGATCCTCTTGAATTGTGGAGATGTATCCCGAGTTATCTCAGGTGGTGATCACCCACGTTTTTTCGGTCTGGGAGAATCACCCTTCTCCGTGGTTCTTCTTGTCCAAGAACGTTGTCATTTGTACAGGATGAACATCACCTTTTTGGTATTTAAGGAGCCGACAGGAGCCGGCACTAATATTCTTAGGGAGACCCTGAAGGAGAAGACTATAAGAGTGAGACCTGTGAGAAACTTTAGGAAGCTCCCAGAGACGGAGTTACAGGAGAAGAGAGTGAATAGACCGTGTTTCTAAGGGGAGGGCTGTTTTAGGTATTCACTGAGTATTGTATGCTTTAAGTAGTTTCTTTTCCTAGGGTTAAGGGGATGCTCATTGTTTTGCTGAATTGGGAGTTTCTTAGGTTGAAAGGGCTCTAGTTGCGGGTTAGAGATTTGGAAGAGCCAAATCTTCCTCTCAAATTGAAGATCCAACTATATCTTTCCATTTTTCTTCATATATCTTGCAATGAAAAGAGTATTGGTGTGTTCTTCTACTATTTTTCTTGGGTTTGTTTTCTGGTTTGCTGAAATCAGATTTCAGCCATAGATTTTCAGAAATTTCCGCATCCACTTCCTATCAATTAACTATTGATCTACCCTCAACCTAGTTTGCTGGCGGCCTGGCGTCAGGCCAAATAACTACGTCCTACTTGTTCAGTATTGCAAACTTTAGTCTACAGTCAAATTCCTACCTCAGTTTCATTCTTGTTTCTTTTACGTTTTTAGTCATTCTTTTATCAGCATGCATACTGTATGCTGATCGTCCTCTATGTATGGCAGGAAAATGCTTTATCCTGCTGATGATGCTATCACAATACATTGTTATGTTGATGTTCTTATTAAACTTTTTTATATATCTTATTGCAATCAAATATTTTACCTGTTACCTTCAATATTACTGAAGAAAGCAGACATTTTTTACTTTTAATGATTTGAACTTCTGGATGATCTATTTTTAGCGTTTGCAGCAGATCTTCTATTGCCAGAGAAGGCCAACTCAACAGTTTTGAATGATGGTTGTGAGAAGCTGGTCAATAGACATTTTGTTTGAGCCAAAGTAAGTTATCCTGCGGTGGATCAGCTTTTGTTTCGGTATGGATGACATTTTACTGTGACCGGCTACTCAGCTCTTGTAGTTTTCCTTATCTTCACTTCGGTTTTAGTTGTGGATTCTTCGAATCATATTTTCTTGCTGAATTACTTTAAGATGTGACATTTTACCGCATTAACTTTCCGAGTTAAGCTAGATTTGAAGTCTAAGAGTTCCTTATTTGATTAGTTAGATCTGAAGTTTCAGTTGACTTAGTTCACTGCCCGAGTTATCAAACAAATGCTTGTTCTTCAGTATATTCATACGAACTGGAAATTATTAAAAGCGCATGGGTTTTTCAATGATATTGAATAAAAGAGAACCATGGGACATGAACTTGAGAAGGTGTTTCCTGCCAATCCGAAGGACTACGAATTGTATGAGGAAGTCGGTGAAGGCGTCAGTGCAACAGTATACAGAGCACTCTGCATTCCTCTGAATGAGGTGGTTGCTATAAAGGTTTTGGATCTTGAGAGGTGCAATAATGATCTGGTATGAGAGTTTTTATTTTTTATCTTCTGAGCATTTTCTTGATTTAGATAAAAATATGCTTTTTATTAGTATGCTTTAGCTTGCTTATTCTATTTAGTTCATTATTTCTATTTTTATCAAATTCCTATGCATATTTTCTCATGGTTTTGAAAACTGGATCAGACCAGCCGGTACGATCGGTTCAATGTGAACATGTTATATGGCCGGTTCAGTCTGCCTTAAAAATCGGCCTAATATCAAACTGGTGTGAACTGATATAACAACCAGTTCAGCCCAATTTTTAAAAACCGTCCGGTTCAATTGATATCCTATTTAAATAAATAAATTTAAAATAAAACATTTAATTAAATATTAATTAATACATTAATTTAAATATATAAATTTTAATTTTACAATAAGTCTTAATTTATGTAATAATAATTTATATTAAATTTAATATAAATTAGTAATAATTTATATCAAATTTAATATAAATTAGTAATAATTTATATTATATATTTTAAGTTTATATATACAATAAATTTATTTATTGACCACAAATTTATATAATTATATATTTATTCTATCATTATTATATTATTTATTTTTTATTTAAATAATTATATTATTTCTTACATCATTCTGTTCAACCCCGATTGAGCTGTTGAACCTTGAACCTCTCATTTTCCGGTTCGACGTCCGGTCCGATTTTCACAACCTTGTGTTTTCTTTTGCACGGGCTTTATAGTTTAGCACACAAGTTGAATCTTAAACTGGATGATCACACTTTTTTGAGCCTCTTCTTTGGCGGTGCAGTGCTTTCAGTTTGGAGTGGTGGTATTTTTCTCAGTTTCCATTGGTTTTCTGTTTTTATATATTTCACGTCAAGTTTGACTTTTTATTTTGACGATGCTATTTTTTTATGTGATTTCTAAACAAACATTAGTTTTGGTTATTTTATCTCATTATGCAGGTTCACAATTTCTTTTAAATGTAAGACTTACCATGATGTAGGTTAATTATCTTAATTGTTTCTGTTAGTTGGTAAACATGCTTGAGAACTGGTAACTCCGAGCAGTTGTTTTTTATCAAGTTTTTGCATCTGATGTTAGTTGGAGATACAATTTTAGTTTTCTTATTTTAAAATGCTTCCATCAATTCTTTTCAGAAGGGGATTGTTTTCTTGTGACTTATGAATTTCATGATTTTATATGTTCTTGATCATCATGCTCTAAAAATATGAGCTTGCATGACCATTGGTTTTGTTTGAAGTTCAAGCCGCAATTTACCGGCTGAGGCTGCTGGATTCTCAAAAGGTAAGCTGTGAATGATATGTTAGTGGTCAGTTAGTAGTATTTGCACTCATTTAGTATATTGAATTCTATGGAGAAGTTCAATCTTTTCATTTTATTCTAAGACGCTGTTCTGCAGAAGGCATCAGGATAAAAAAAAAAAAACCAAAGGAAAGCTCAAACTGCTATGTATTTTATTAAATCTGACAGTATCTGTATAGTTTATGCTCGGTTTTTATCTTTATTTGATAAGCATAAGTTATTATTCCCACATCATGCACGTTTCCCTTTTTTGTTATCTAATTTTGTATACCTACTGGTTTATGGTCCATTTCAAAGATTCTCATTTTTTTTATGTTTCAGTTGAATAAGTCAATGGAGCTACTGTGAGGGTTTTTTCACCTTCACAGACCTTTTTATCATTATTTTATATTACTATATGTGAATTTTGAATGTAATTTTCTATATCTGTCCTTTTTTTTTATAAATGGACACAAGTTTTGGGATTTGATAAATACATCTTTAGTTTTGGATATTTTGTAAATAAGAACTCTATCAAATTTGCAAAACATTGAACATATTAAAATCTATTAAAATTGCACCTCTTAAACGGCGAGATGAACCTGGTGTCTGCATTCGGTCACCGATATCATAGCTTTTTGTGGTAATGTGGTGTTAACATGTGCTTGCACTTGTGCCTACTAGCTATGGAAACTAATACTCATCAGCGGACATGATATGTGCAAGTTTAGGTGAGCTTATTGTGGCGTTAATATTTGCTTGTGTTTGCTAGTGCATATGAGTTTATGTGTGCCAGCGCAAACTCGTATTTGTGTCTACAAGTCTGCGGATACTAGTGTGAGAGGTCATAGGTGACATTGTAGGTGTCGATGTCATGACCTGACCTAGGAGCTCAGATGATCTAAGGTGGGAACATCCGCTATTATTGTATGTGGTGAAAATGCTAGTCATAAATGCGTGAACAAATTAGTGTCACTCGGTAGTTTCTTATGGTCATAAATGCTTGAACAAATATAGTTTTTTTTTTTTTTGAACAAATATAGTTAGTTTCAAATCATTAAAGATATGTATGCAGGAGCTATTACTTGTGTTCAAACACAAGGTGGTTTGACCAAGTAATTGAAATTCATGAAGATAATACTAATATGACATTAGGATCATATATTTAAACCTTAAGCTACAGAATAAACATTACATCCATGAGATTCTGAAATGATGTAGCATTACATATATAGTTCATAATAATATGAAGAATATTAAAAATGCAAGAGAAATCATAGCATGGTTCATAGAAAACATTCTATGGAAAGAACTACTATAGATGTGTGATACATATGCATTAAGTTTAGAGGTAAGGAACATTATTCTAAGGAGAAATGCAATTACCCACATTAGCTTTAGAAAGCAAACCATATATATGATTTCATGTGAAACATTCATATTTTCTAGCTTATTTAAATTCTTCTTGAATAATAAACTTCCTCAAATTTCCTCTTCTTAATAAATTATTACCATTATTTTACCCATATTCAAATATATGGATCATTCTTATTTAGGTTAATGTCTTCAATTCCTAGCTCAATTGCTTCAGCATGCATAGTATATCATTATGATATATAACTATGGTTTCAATTTCATTTGAAATATACACAAGATTTAATATTATTTATTTGGGTTGTTAAACAAAGACATTTAGAGGTAAAATTACCTTGTTCCATTCATAAATCAACTATTACCTCTGACAAATTTGTATTTATTAAATTCTCTTAAGTTGGTGTTATACATATATACACTATTCAAGTTGTGGTGTGTTCATTACCCTTCATGCAGTAATCAAGAACTAATTGTATTTGTTTTAGAATCGTTCTATGAGTATCATTCCAGTAAAACTCTTGATCATGTTGATATCTGAATTGGCAATCCTCATATAGCATCTTATGAATGCCCCAAGGCATCTTATGATTATTAAAATCAACATCGGTTTGTTTGAGGTTACTTCAAATTGAAGGAAAAAGAGTAGATGAAGCCGTAATTTTTTTTTTTTAAATTTATTATTTATTATTATTATTATTTTTAATGAAACCCTAAATCTTCTCCCTCTATGGCTTTTGTAGTCAAGCTCAATGCACGATTGGCCTCACATCCTAACACTCTGAGGCTGGCCTCGATCCCTCTTCTCGATTGTCATAGACGCCACCATCTCTTTTCCTCTCTCTCTGTTGTGATTGTTCTCGCCAAACCTTAAGGAAATCTGTGCGTCTCCCTCCGTTTCAATCTCCTCTCATAACTTGATCGCAGCCAAAGCCACACCAATGCTAGTTCCTCAAGCATACTATGGCCTCTTTCTCGACTCTACTCTCAGTTTTTCTTTTTTCTGGCCCGACAGTTGACTGTGTTGCCTCTCCTTATATATAAATATAGTTATATTATAAATGTAGGTATTATAAGTTATATAGTTATATTATAATTAATAGTATAAGTATTACTTCATTAATTTGTATAATTTATTACTCAAGCTTAACCTAGTTAATCATGTTTATTTAATCATTATTTTATTAATGATTTATGGGTAATACAACTGATATGCTACCAGGATCCTTTCACTTCTATGCTGATGTGAGCTCGGCAAACTCCACATAGGTTCACCACCTTTGTTTCCAATCCCTGAAAAAAAACAAAAAAATTACTAGGAAACCTTGATATTATTAACTTGCTTTCACAAACCCAAGCATATATACTTTGGTTGTAAGAAACGAGACATTATGACCAGTGTGATTAAACCGTAGCTATAAGCCCACTCATGTATACTTTTTTGCTTATAAGAAAACGTAGACATGTATACGCTGGTAGTCACAAACCCAATAAAGATGCTTGACATCAAAATAAAAGAATATGTACCTGTATTTTCTCTATCTTGACTGTCCTAATTTGTACACTGAAATTTTCAGCTTGGTTTTACAGAAGTTTTAATCTTTGTCAGATGAACTCTAGGGAGTTCTGAAATTATTTTATTCTATTGATATTTTCTTGTTAACACAAATTTTCCAAGCTATTCAAGTCATAGTAGGAATCTTATTGAAAAAAACATATTAAGCTTTATCATGAATTCTTTCTGAAAGTTTGTTTCTTGCTAACATCAGTTTTCTTCTAATTTTGATATTTCCTTTTCCTTCTGTCAGGATGGCATCAGGCGTGAAGTGCAAACCATGAGATTAATTGATCATCCAAATGTAGTGAAGGCATATTGCTCTTTTCCAGCAGGCCACCAACTTTGGGTTGTGATGCCTTACATGGCTGGTGGTTCTTGCCTTCATATAATGAAATTTGCTCATCCTGAGGGCTTTGATGAACCTGTTATTGCTACTCTTTTACGTGAGGTTCTTAAAGCTCTTGTTTATGTACATGGCGAAGGGCACATACATAGAGATGTAAAGGTATTTCATAATATTGTAGCACAAACGCTTTTAGATGCATAGTAAGTTTTATGTTATTTTGCTAAAACCAGTACACAGTTGTTAGAGCAAAATGAATCATCCGTATTCCACAAAAGAGCGAAGTGCTCAAGCTGTGGCAATATTTACGATGTCTTTTGTATGATTCTTCCTAATTCTATTTTTTTTTTCTGGATTTGATCATGAGAAAGTGATGGTATATTTTTCTGGAAAATCTAAGACTTATGAAGAGTATATGTACTTAGTGATGCTTATGCAACGTTGTTTAAAGAGTCTCCTTAACAGAATACTTGTCATTGGCTGTCACGCAGCATGATGTAGAACTAATACGTCTGATATTAGCATTTATGATATCTTCCACATGGTAAAATCAGTCTTGTGATGACCATTTTAGGAGAGTAGATGTATTAGATCCGACTTATATCAACAAAGGTAGAGGTAGGCCTAAAAAAAAATTGGTTAGAAAGTATTAGAAATAATATTTTTTTATTAGATTTAAATGAGATTTTTGACTTTTAATAGGATACAATAGAGAAAAAGGATTCAAATAGCCGACCACATGTAGTAGGATAAATGTTCGATGTTGATGTTGATTGTTTTATTTGATTATAAATTGATGAATATTGCTAATTGATCTTCATTCAATGATTTTTTTGGGGTATTTTTAAAAGTTGGGACATTGTTTGAGATAATATGATGTGACACACTGAATCTATAAGTAACATTGTGGGTATAGAAATTGATGACATGCTTGGCAGTTATTTCCTTGAATTAGGCATTTCATTCTATTTGAAAAAATAGTTGGTCGTTGTTAATAAGAAGCAATGTGTAGTAGATGACGGTGGATTGATTAGTCCAATTATATCGGTACCCCAACATTTTAGATGACCAGAATACAATTGTAGGGTGCAAAGAATTCGAAGGTTGATAGTGTCACCATGAACTTGACATTTATAATACGTTTTGGCATAATTGATGCAATCTTTTATCATCAATGTTGATGTAGCTTATTCTTTTAATTTTGATCGTCATGTTGGGTATAAAACCCAATGAGTGTGGACTCCAATCAACACATACTTATCTTTCATGCTTTCCATTTCATTGGTCAATTTTGCTAAGAAATTTGCTTTGCTATTTTGAGCTTAGGAGACTAGTTAGAGTGATCTTCTGGATTTTTTTCATGAGCTCGATAATCTATTTATGATAATTTTCTAGTGCAACTTTGTTAATACAGTAGATGCTCAATATTTGATTTATACTAAAGCTAAGAATCTTTGAAGATATAAAAATCTTGGATTCCTATTGAAATGACAATTTTGTGAATCGCAATTAAGGTTTAGTATATGGCTTTATTACTAGTTTGAGGTTCAATCAACTCGAATTAATATCTCATTGTGCCTCTTTTGGGTGTTATAAAGGTGAGACCAATATCAAGCCCTACCTTTATAATATTTGAGGGTTAGGCAAGTTTGATTGATGATGATTAATCAAAATATACTTCCCAATTTTGCATCTTTTCATTTTATGAAGTTTGAGTTTCTGCTTACAGCAAGCTGTTCTTTTCCTTTGACAAAGACCTTGCCTTTGAGCAGATTGACTTGGGAAGCAACATATTGTTTGCGATAGGTTTCAACACCCTTAAATTGTCAATGGATGGGCACAAGATAATTTATCTGGATGTTGCTAAGGAAGATCCCCCTGTGGTAGAGCCTATTGTAGGGACAAGAACTGATCCCCTTATTTTTAGTGATTAGGAGAGAAAATCTAAGTTGACTGTTGAGCCTCCTACTGCTGTTAAGTCTGTTTTTGAGGAGGGATCAAGCTCCGGGACCCCATTTACTAACAAGAATCAGAGAAAAAATTATGTGAGACGAGTAAGGAAGAAAATAGCCAAGTCAAGGAAAGTTGTCGAGGCTAAGGCTCTGGGCCAGGTAGAGCCAGAGGCTGTTGAGGATCTGCTTATTCCTGCTTCCTCTCCACTCCTTGCAGGGAGTCGTTTTTACCCCCTTGTCACTGCTAAAGGGGAGGAGAGGGCACCTATGATAACTAGCTCCCCGCCATGCCCGGTTGACTACTCAACCAAGAGAACTTACAAGGAAAACACCTCCAAAGGAGAACTCTAAGAAGCATAATTCATACTTGTGCTGCTCAATCTGGACAGACAAAAGAACAGTACATGAAGCAGTTGAAAGGAGTTATCTCCCACAGCTTCTAAAATGAAATCTTGAAAGAGGAAGCGTCCGAGGCTTAGAATTTGACTCCTCAGCATGTTAGAAGGAATAAGAAGTTTGTCCGACAACCTGCTACCTCGGTGTTAGTTGATGGTTATCACTGGGTGTCACGCCCTCCGTCCTCTAAAACGGAGGGTATTGTACTTACCGGGTCCGAGACGAGAGAGGCCACCATCCTACTAGTAGGCCGCCAGTCCCTTCTCCAAAATTTAAGAAGTTGGCCCCAGTGGTAGTCAAAGTTAAAGAAGACTTTGAAGTTAAGAGAACAACTGATATTAACGACAAAAGGCCTAAGTTCCCTGAAAGGAAATATGTTCTCAAGAAAGCCAAATTTGATGTTCCTCCAACATTGTTCAAAACATCTTGGCTCTCTGTCAAGTTGACACAAATTCTAGTTAGTATTCCTCCAACTCCAGTTGATCTAGTAGACACTTGTATTGATGTCCCAGTTGTCACAGTAGATAATCTCTCTGCCGCTAGTCAAGTTGATGTTCCGGTCATCGACCCTTGCTGATTCACCAGACAACTTTTATCAAATTCCATCTGTTGTTCCTGGGCTCCCTAGTCGGGGGTCTGAGGACTTTATCTTACATGATGTAGGAGCTATTACCCTCCAAGCTCCTGCATCGTCTGCTGAGGTATATGTCCCTCACCCAGTAGAGGATGCCACCCTTCTGACTACCAGTTTAGGGACAATCGAGGGGGAGGGGATATACTTGGATCAAAAGATGATTGATAAGTCAGTTTCAGAACCCAGACGGGATGATGATCCCAGACTACATGCCATCATCTCTAGACTACAACAAGATGAACTTTACGATATGCTGGAATATAAGGGTTACTTACCCATCGATCCTGAAGCAATAGGAGACAGACCGATCGATGAGGTAGTCCAGGAGATAAGGGACATTTTACGAAAGAAAGAAGGAACATCAACTTTTGACCCGGAGTAAGATGATTTGTTAATGGAAGATTTCTTAACTGGTAGCATCTGCATGGTTGAGACCCGTGGATCTACTAAAGAAACTGAACCAAGTAAACTCCGATTTGGCAAGGAGGAAGGTTCAGTTGATGTTGATTCAGATTCTGATGAGTCAGTGAGAGCTAGGGATGATCATCACATAAAGAACCTGGAAGCACAAGTGATAGAGATGTTGCTGCAGGTTAAGGAAATGCATGCACAGATAGATAAATCACAGCAAGCTTCCCTTAAGTTATATCAGTCTGCCTCCCAGTTAGTTGTTGATCAAGTAAAAAATGCAGAACTTTTTCCCAAGATTCCCGAGTCAGTTTCAACAGTTCCCCCTATCCAACAACCAGTTTTACCTGCTCCAATAGTCCAACCAATAGTTTATGCGATTCCTCCAACACCGGTCTAGAAAGATCTCAAACAACTAATTGAGGATCAGGTAAAGGAGGCCTTTGCCTGATATTACATAGCAAATATTTGAATCTTTATATATACTTGTATATAACACACGGATCAATTTGTTATATGCCTACCATGGAGTTCTTATGAATTTACATAGCTAATATTTGAATCTTTATATTTACTTGTATATAGCTCTTAAATATTTAAAGCACATCAAATGCTCCAAAAATTTGAAAATTTTAAAGTGGGATTCACCTTTTCAGGCATAAGTACTTATTTTGAAACTAAAGTGCTATATTAGTAAATATGAATGTTTATGTGTTAGACATATAAATTCATAAGAATTCTGTTGTATGTATATAAATCCCTCATTAAATAATGTTGAAGGGTTAGAAAGAAAATCAGTGTACTTAAGGTGACATGGATAGTGTTGGTTATGAGTAGTTGCAAACAAATAGGGATTACTGTTGTTACCTATCTGGCCTTCTTTCTGTTTGACTAGTTCCACAGTACCATTTATCTTTTTGAGTTGTTTTGTGAATTCTCTTTATTCTTATGTGGTATGAATTTTGTTTATATTTGCTACTCTTAGGCCGGGAATATACTAATTGATGCTGATGGAGCTGTTAAGCTGGCAGACTTTGGTGTAGCAGCTTGCATGTTTGACACTGGGGACAGGCAGCGAGCACGAAATACATTTGTGGGGACTCCATGCTGGTGCATTTTTAGATCCACGTTTTTCTCCTACATAATGCCCTAGAATATTAATTTTTGTTATAATATATTGTTTTACTATCATGTACATATATTTATTTTGCGTGGCCAACATTTGTTAATTTATTTGACTTTAACAGGATGGCTCCTGAAGTCATGCAACAATTACACGGATATGATTTCAAGTAGGTGGCTGGCTCCACTTCCCCGTCATAGCTGAACCCCTTAACTGTGCAAGCCTTTTCATGACTATTGATTGATTTTTTTATTTGCATTAAAATTCTTTCCATAGTATCTTTCTGATGTTTTAATTTATCAACAGAGCTGATATTTGGTCATTTGGCATAACAGCATTAGAACTTGCCCACGGACATGCTCCATTTTCTAAGTATCCTCCAATGAAGGTTTGCCTTAGTAGAAATAGAAACGGGGTTTTTATAAATTTATTTGCCAATTCTAGATACTTGAACACTTAATAATATGAATTGTTTTGGATCACTGTAGGTATTACTTATGACCTTACAAAATGCACCACCGGGTCTCGATTATGAACGTGACAAGAAGTTTTCTAAGGTCAATATCTCATCTTATCTGTAGGTTTAGTTCTTGAGGGGATTCAAACATTCCACCTCATTTTTGGAGGATTGTGGTGGTAATGCAACTGGAGCACTTGCTTGGCTGTAAATATACAATTATTTACTGTCATATCTAACAGTGTTTTTCTTTGCAGTCTTTCAAAGAGATGGTTGCTACATGCCTGGTGAAGGATCCAAAAAAGCGCCCCACTTCGGAAAAGCTTTTGAAGCATCATTTCTTTAAACATGGTCGTTCAAATGAATATCTAGCACGAGCTATTCTTGATGGCCTTCCTCCACTTGCAGATCGTTTTAGGACATTAAAGGTTTAAATTGACATGGCTTGTAATAGAAACCTCATTGCAGTTTATACAATTTTTTTCTTATTCGTTTAGGGAAGAGAGGCCGACATTCTTCTGAATAGGGCTGATGAGGACAAAGAGCAACTATCACAGGTAAAATAGATTTCTTGATCCTTGAAAATTAAATTTCCAGCAAGCATTTCATCATTACTCCTCTTTCTCTCTGACACCAAAGTGAGTGCTAAGCTATCCGAATGCATTTTTAAATTATTTCCTAATAGAGTGTTTATTGTTTTAATCTAAGCTCCTTTTAAATTGTTCCCTTTAATGTGGAAGGCTTTTGATGAGGTAAATCTCATCCAAAATTTACTAAATCTAATACTCTTGTCATTGTCTTATGGCACTTGACATGCCAAATGAGTGCCAAATTATTTTGTATATAATATACATATACGTAAAATGTTACGTGTAATTTTTTTAGCAGTTTTAAACTGCCTAGATTTTTTAATTATTTGATTGTAGATTTGTATTTGAGGGGGAAAAATAGTCCCCTGGCTATTCACATGTGGCAAATTTTGTCTTAGAGTATCATTTTTCTTTAATTTAGCCCCTCGATTATTTGTAATTGATCTTAAATACTTCCTCAACAACTAAATTTAGATTAATTTTATATCGTTGGGAACTAAATTGGGATTAATTTTGTATCCCAATTTCCATCAATTTCTACTTGAGGGACTATTTGGGAACAATTTTCCATATTTGAGGGACCAAATTGGCGAATGTGATACTTTGAGATTAACTTTGTCGCATACGAATAGTCGGTGGATTGATATATATCAATTAACTTCTCAAAATATTTATTTGCCTATTTTTTGTTTTGACTCTTTTAGTCTCCCTGGCCCTTTTATTTTTCACTACACACGTGTTTGCTCCTAAGGTATTTTACCATCTTACTTATCCTCAAAATTGTAAGGTCTGCTAGTATAAGAAGTTGTAGCATTTTTTTTTAATCTTTTTTCTTTCACAGTTGATCATTCTTTAATATTTAAATAAATTACATGCATTATGAGTGTAATAACTTTTTTTTTAATTGTAATTTAGTCATATGCATTCATGTGTCAATAAAATTAGATATCTTAAAAAATTATTTTTAATGGAGGTTTGGTTAGCAATCTATCCCCTTTGATAAAAACTACACTTTAACCTTCTGATCTAATTTTTATTTTAAAAATATTTTATCTTTTGCCCAAGGGTTGGGATTTTTTCACATAGGTGGGATTCGAATGCTAGACCTTGGTAACAACTTAACAAAGATTTTTTGATAGACTGAATAAGTTGGCATCCATGATCAACTAAGCTTTTTGATATTACTCTTAACATAATTTTTATTTTGGTTTAATTTAATCTATCTATTAAACATAAAGTTTACTTCTAACTTGATTTAAGATATTCTATGGTATATGATTTTTGATGAAGATGGAGCTTTCAATTTAAACTAGATGCAAGAAATCTATTTAAAAAACATATTTATCTTAAAACAACTATTTACTATGGTCGATGAAAATTGAAACTTAGAAATTCATTTTTGACCAAAGAATTATGATATTCTACTAGAAACTAATGAAAGGAAAGTTGAGAAATACAAGTCATACAAATGATTGAAATTTCAGACAAAAGTAATAAAATTTGCTCCGAGAAAATCTAACAAAAGTAATATTTATTTCAAAGAATAATGAAAAATGATTAGAAGAAAAAGGGGAGGGAGGAGAGACTCAAAGAGTTTTGTTTAAATTGCTCAAATCTCTAGTAATAATCCTCATGAAATCGCATAAGTAATAAAAAACACTGTTTGTGGAAGGAACAGCTAGAGATCAGACTAACGAAGGCACAATCAACCACTCCATATTTTCTATAGTTTTGCATAAAAATTTACGCCAGCCTCATTAATGAAACTGTAGAATCCACTCAACAAAATAACGGTAGGAATGCAAATTACTGAATTCATGGATAAGTAGTTGCAATAGCAGTTAATTGATGCTAAAATTGATAGTAACACTACAATAGAAATCTAACCAGGTTTAGGATCAAGTAACCAGCTGTAGGAACAAATAGCCGTAACATGCAACAAAAACAATAAGAATTACGGCCACAATATAACGCAGTAGTATCATAGGGACATATATATAAGCTCTCATTAACTTAACTATATGATTAAAAGTGAATTTTAAAAACATTAATTACAGTTTAAAATTGCAAAAATTGAAATTTCAAATTGATTTTCTAACACAAACATTTTGCATTTTTTATTTTTGTCTAAATGAGACGAATCACAGTCGTGCATTATCTGCATATCATGACCAGTGCTTGAAAAGTGGGCAATTCACGTTATGTTTTTAGTCATAGATTCATAAAGAATGAAATGGGATGTCATGGAATCATAGTGTGATTTTTTATAGTGGTGGTGATAACTAAACTGTTCTATAGATTCGAGTTTACAATGGGAAAGTAGACTCAAGAAAATGAGTTTACTGTATCAAAGTTTAGGATGCTTAAGCTGTATGTAACGAAACTACTAATGATATAATGCATAATTAGTACATTTGATCAAATCTTAGAAGATTGTAATGGAAAACAGATGATATGGTTTATGCCCTTTTATTGCAGAATTGAGGAACTACATATAGGTGGTAGACAATTGAGTATCAGTATCTGTGGGAGAATTTAGAAGCCCCTTCCCTATTTGCAATTTTGCATATGCGGCTCTCTTTGTTTCAATTTATTGGGTTGTGTCCTCACTCCTTTTTATTTATTTATTTATTTGTTTTGTGGTTTTGTTCTCTGTTGTGGGCTGCAGCATCTACTTCTTCCCTCCACTACCATCTCACCTCCCTTTCAAGATAGTTTTTGCCTCAAATTTTATGGCTTTGCCTGTTATTTGTAGCAGTGAGATGCAGTGTTGTTTTTCAAGCATTTCTTTGATTCTCTCCTTTATGTGTCATTTTTCTATACTATTTGGTGGGGGCAAGAAATATAGGGGAGCCTATACCCCTCGCCCGCACGAATAAGAATACCGAAACGACCCACTAAATCACGAAATGACGAAGAAGAAGGGGAAGAGGAACAAATTCTTACATTTCAAATCTAAGACCGACTTAGAAATTAAAAACACAAAATTACAACGACTTACAAAATCGACTCGAAATCAAAAGACACCCTAAAGTTGCTTCGCAAGAGAAGAGAGATACAGGTGGAGTGGCACTTGCGGAGAGACGAAAGAGATAAGAAGTCGAGACGGAAGGTTGGAAAGAGCTCGCAAGATTTCCGGAGGGGATGAGAAAGAAGACGGACAAAGCTCGCAAGCTTTTCCATGAAACCCGCAGGTTTACATTTCCAAAAATCACATATCATTCACTCTCTAAAATAATACAATACCCCCCATATATATAGGTATGAAAGGGGAATACAAAGAGACTCCTAATAAATTCCCATAGGAATTCTAAAAGACAAACATTAAAAACTTAATTGCTTTTTTCATAAAAAACTAACCCAAGCCAAAGAATCGAAGCAGCCACCGCGGGAGACAAGGAGGCCGCACGGAACCGAGGAGCCACAGCCACGGGAAAGAGCCCACGCACGGAAAACCAGCGGCCGACCAGAAATCCAAGAGGCAAGGCACGGAAAACAGCAGCCCAAGGGTGGAAGCCAAGGAGCCACCGCATGGGAAAAGACATTTCTTGGAATTCCAAAAGCCGGTTTGGAATTCCAAGAGACCTACATAATTAAAAACATAAAAAGTACATTTAATATAAGATAAATATGAACTAAAATCATAGCTAATAATGAGCTAACCCTTAGTTCAATAAATGAACTAAAGACCAGCTCATAAATGAGCTAAAATTTCAGCTCAAATTGATTGAGCTTGTAAACTCGGGGGAAGCCAAAAATCAATTTATTTTGGGCTTGAGTTGACCCCCCTTTGTTTACATCAGATTCTCCCCTTCTTGAAGAACTCATCTC